ATACACAAGCAAGAAATAAACCTGGTATACCCTTCTTGTTGCCTAAGGCATCCATAATGAAATATGGAAAGATCTGATCAACATTTTGGACGTGACCAGCCGTAAATGGATCGCATCCGGCATAGTATGCATAGAGAATGACACCCATCAAACCTGAGAGAAGTATCAAAAGACCAACACCAAACATATTGATAAAAAGAGCTGCTTGTGCTCCCCGTGTTGATCGAACACACATATACCGTTGTACTTGCATTTGATTGAAACCATAGGTCAACAATGCATTAAAAGAGTTACCAATTAAAATTGACCAAATTGTGTGGCGTGTTCGAGGATCGAAACTGACACTAAATCGATACGAACAGGTAGAATATTTGTCGATATACAATGAGTGACGATGAGCTTACTTATCAAATTCAATACGGCCACCTTGTGAAGCAATGGAAAATGCTCGTTTGAAGCCACCAACCAGAATCAAACCTAGCACAAGAGAGACAAACAAATTGCTTTCATTCAGTTTTAGAGTAAATTTCAAGGATTTAGGCAGTCCTCAATCAGTTAATATATACTCATAAAGAAAGTTTAAAAAGAAGGAAGTGGATTGGCAAATAGCTTTACTAATTGTTGTCTTGATAGATAGTATAGAACTCCATGGGTTTCATCCTACAAAGACTAGCTCAACATTTTTTTGGTATTTAGCTACAATAGCAATACACCTATCATTTTCAGATGCATGAACTTGCCTTCAACGACGGCTACGAGAACACCAGCATACATGACCAATGCTTGCAAAACATCGGTCCAAATAATTGCCTTCATGCCACCCTACAGATATCAACACTTATCAGATTCTTTTGTCCTGAATACTATCAGATATAGGTACATACCACTGAAGAATAGAAAGTACAAACTACACCAATAGAGATAACTGAAAGCCATTTGTTCAATCCCGTAGCTACAATTCAATGTCGAAATTAAATCAGCATATACTTTCATTTACATACTTTGACTAAGTGCCAATGATGGAGCATAGAGTACCAGAGCCATATATATAAACTTTAAATATTAGGATATAGAGCATATCTGTACAAGTGAATCTTACCGCACCATGTATACTGAGAAAGTAATGGAGACACACGTACGTACTGATCGATCGAAACGTTTCTCTAAATACTGATATAAGCCTAATTTCTTTATTTCACATCACGTCTAGAAGTATCCCACCTCATAAATACTTGTATAGTTCATTTCACGAAATTTAGGCATGAAAATAAAAGCCGTTAACATCGATGCAACACTCCATGAAGCAGCTGCAAATGTAAAAAGACAGTGACAATGAATAATATGATCATTATTTTAGAGTTTTCTCACCTTGATACAAAAACATTGTTCCAGACATGTACACTTCACTTGGAGTACCCAATAAAGTAATGGCAGAAAGAAATGAAACCATGATACTCAGCGCTGTAGGAAGCACGCGCATTTCACCGTCCGCTGAAATGAAAGAGAATGACAATGACCCAACGGGAAACAAGTGCGACTCCGCTACTTCGAAGACCTCGAGTTGCATCTTTTTTCCTTGCTATTATCTTTAATCGTTCTACGTACCTAAAAGAAATTCTGTCGCTGAAGTTTTCTTAGATTTGACAAAGCCAAAGATAACACCGATGACAGCCGATGACAACAGCAATAGCACAAAGACAACATAATCAGCGACGCTCAGTGTCGGTAAGTCCATTCTTCAACAAGACAGCAACGATTCAATGAAAATACAAAATAATCTTCTTTTACTCTCCTATAAAACAAAAAGAAGTTCTTTTTTCAATCATTTCTTTTTCTCTTCATCTTGTCTTATTACAAATACATTTGAATGCATATGTCATAGTTTATTCTCGTGTTATTATATTTTTTATTTTGTATTTATGTCAAAATGACCTATTTTAGTGATATTAAGAGAATAGAAACAGTAATGCAGAACATAAAATCATCAAATTTAATCGTTTTCAATGTTAGAATGAAGGCCATGCCTAAATGTATGTTTTTTGAAAGTCGATTGTTTTCCTTAGTTGATAAGCGTCACAAATGGTCATCCACTCTATCATCATTAATTAATGACGACATAGCTCTGAAATGAGGCCGTAGTCTCACTCGAAGTTCTTGTCGTTCGACTATTAGAACTCTGCATGCACACTGTATCAATGCCGCTTGCAATGAGTGTGTTTAATATTATGCGTATCGATTGCTTAAGTCTTCGAGTGAGAACTTTCAGTGATCATAATACTTTAGTTTAGAGCTATATTTTGATCAATTATTGGTGATAGAGTAGATAATCATTTGTAGAGCCTATTTGATAATTTTCTGTTTTGCATTATTGTTTCGATTCTCTCAATAACACCAAAATACATTAATTTGGAATAAATACAAAATAAAAGAACACTTGAATAAGATATTATATATGTATGCAAATGCAGTTGACTACGCTATCTGTACAATGACATAAAAGTGCATATATAATAATATAAGAGAAAGGCAAAAAAGGAACAATTGAAAGAGTAACTTATTGTTGTTCATGGGACCCTAGAATAACACTTAAAATGATAATCTTGCGTGACATTTGAAGTATGCACTTACAGTCATATGATATGTATTTGCCTTTTCGATGAGCTTCGTAATGTAAGGATACAAAAAGCTAATCGACAATAAGTAGAGACAGTCTTAGTATAGAAGATCAAAAAAAAAACATACTGGTTTAACATTTGTTCTGTATTTAGATGGATTGTCCGATCAAATAGAATTATTGAAAAAAGTTCGAAAAGACGTTTCGAAAACAAAATGTCTCATAAAACACAATTTCGAAGAGTTAAGCCCTCTCAAAAAAAAGTGACCTTTTTAAAGCATGATCGAAAATGAGATAAATGCAGGGAGCAATAGCTCGTGATATATTCTCTCATAAACGACAAGAATTTTTACTCGATACCTCATTTTTTCCTAAAATTTTTGAACATTTTTATCACGACTTATTGGAAAAATAAGCAGTTGTCGGAGGAAAAAAGCCAAAAATCTTTTTCTTTTTTTTCTCAGTTCATTTTATGTCGAACGCGCAAGCCTCATTTCTCTCTCTATGTTCATGTTATATTTAAACTTGATTTTTGGAAAGAGTGCGCCAAGATGCAGAGCGCTGTAGAGTTTTTCTAAAAAAAAACTTTCCTATTATAATATCAGAAAACATCTCGATAGAAAAAACCTATTTTTAAAGGGTTTTTTAATTACTGAACTTGTAATTTCTTCTTTTCACTAAAAAGTAAAAATTTAAAGAAAACGGACCTTATGATGCCCTGCATCTTGTCATGCTCTTTCAAACAAAAAGAGAATTAAAGATATTGAATCAGCTCGAGCAGAGAAATTTAGTTTGCTGAATGAGCTATGTTTGACCCCTGTCTGATCTGTATCTTCGTCAAACATCATGATATCGGACTGAAAATTTTATCATAGCTTCTCCACTATAGCTTTATCATGTTCTGAAAATTTCATGCCATTTGAACATACCTGGACTGAGATCGATTTTTGAGGAGTGAGTGGGCCTTAAGTTTTCGTATGTCAAAGGTCAAAAGATGTCCCGGCATTCTTTTTTAACACAGTACTCATATCATTCTCCACACCAACACAAAGATCTCCTTACAGGAAGATATTAGACCACCTCAACGACTCTTATCCTCATTCAAACAGAGAAAAGAAAAAAACGCGTGTGAACGCTCAAAAGATTTCGATCATCCTCAGGGACTTATTGCAGTTCCTGGTTTTTGTTCAGAGACAGTGAGAAAAACGTGGCAAGAAATCGATCACTGTCACATAACCTACACCTTTTGACAGATTTCACACCTACTTTTTTAAGCATTTCTGATCCACAAAATGGAAATCCAATTAGCATCCAACATCATTCAGATCTTTCGTGCATTTTCATGTCTCATTATTTTTTCTTGTATTTTCACATGCTTCTTCTTTAATTTTTTCCCCATAATTGGTTATAAACGTTTAAGACATTCATATAATATTAATAATTGTTCGCCAGATAAACAGATCAATCCTTTTACACACATAGCAATCTGTCTATCTATATACCAATCTATTTTCTATTCGTCTATCTGCCTAGTTACTTGCCTACTTACCTCTGAGGGCTGCCATCTCTGAGGTATAAATTAGCAGAGGTAATGCTACTTTCCAATCAGATAAACAATCAAAAAGCACTTGTAAAAAGACGCCCAAATTTCAACGAAAATAGACGCGTAAAAAGCACAAATTTATTCGGATTCAAAATACATTAAAACCTTCGAACGAATATATTTTCATTCTAGATCTTTAACACGTTTTCACACGTTCGAGATTTAGACTTGAGTGTACCACAAGAGAGAATCATTTGATGTACGTTCTAATAGATCAAAATTAAACTGATAAGTCATTGTA